CCAGTCAGTCAATCTGGTATCAGGTGGGATTAAGTGGAATTTTTCATTACATCTGCAAAGAGACGTCCTAGTCCATAATTGTGTAGGGGGCCTACCAGGTGTCAGTCCGGGGCCCACTAAGAGGTCAGGGGTCCCTAAGCATGTAATTGTCTCAAAACCTTTGACCCAATATTCAAAAACAGATCTGGAATGGCCCACTGAGCAGGATCAGTCTGCTCCCTTGGGTCAAGCATGCCATAAACTCTGCTCCCTCTAGCACCACTGGACTCTCTCCAATTAATGTCGTTTTTGGTTTTCAGCCTCCGAGGTCCACCATACAGGAGAAGGAGTCTAAGGTTCCTTCCGACAACCTTTCTGCCCTTAGGTGCCAGTGGAGGGTTCCGGCGCTGCCTTACAGGATGGCTCAGAGAGTTTGGTTCTCAACTAAAGATCTGCCTCTTAAGGTCGACAGCAAGAAGCTGGATCCCCGCTTTTTTGGGTCATTCCCTATTGTTAAGGTGGTGAACCCGGTGGCCGTCCACCTCCAGCTCCCTCATACCTAAAGAATTCACCCCACTTTCCATGTGTCCCGGGTCAAACCTGTAAGCACCTCCGGTTTTGTGCTCACTCATGGGTCACCTCCACCCGCCCGGTTCATTGATGGAGACCCGGTCTACACGGTCCGCCGTCTTCTCAGGTCTAGGCGGAGAGGCCGGGGGCTCCAGTATTTAGTAGACTGGGAGGAGTACGAACCTGAGGAGAGGTCCTGGGTTCCGGCCCGGTTAATCCTGGATAAGGACCTCATTAGGGCTTTCCACAGGGCTCACTCAGATCAGCTCATTGGGGCGTCTGGAATCCACCCATGAAGGGGTTCAATAAAGGCTTGTTTTGAACTAGATCCAGATCTGTCTGTTTTTGAATATCAGCCTCTGTAAAAACTCGCTAGAGTTACTCACAAAACAGCTTGAATATTCTGGCACTGGTAGCCGGAAAACACACAGCATTTAAAGGAGGTGAAAACAGGTGAATCAGATACGCAGTAATGAGAAACCGGGCAGAGTTAAACAGGTGAAATGAGCAATCAGGCACCAGTGCATATTCTGCTTACGGATAGTTACGCCCCTAAACATGGTCTCTGTTATACCTTTGTTGTATTTTTGTTGCCCTTATCTTTTCACTTTTCTTTTTTATGTGTTTTATGCAAACTTAAAAAAACTTTTTAGTGCAGTAAATCATCTGTCTTTAACTTTTTTCCTGCTTTACTTTGTTACTTTTACACTTTTACTTTTCGTTGATACTCTAACTTCTACAAATAAGTTTTTAAACAGTAGGATTTCTACTTATACTTGAGTAATAAACATTAATACTTTTAAAACCTATGTGGTTTCTTCATTTTTGGTTTTCATTTTGTTACGTTTGGATTTAAAACCATGTCTATTTTTTTTAGATATTATTTCAGATTGTATGAACCCCAGAAAATGTTGCTTAATTTGAAAAAATATTTGTTTCATCCTAACTTTATTCCCAGAGTTTGTCTGATCTACAGCCATGAAGCAAAAAAATCAATAATAATGAATAAAGTTCCTCTCCAACAGCTTTTTTCCTGATGATGGTTGTTTGGAACAGAAGTCTCATTCTCTGAAAACACTCATTGCTTCCTCAGATGGGTCTTGCAGCAGAGTTGAACTGTCCTGGTGGCTGGAGCAGAAGCTAAAAGAGGACTGGATTCAGCATCAGCTCATCCTCCTGAAAGAGGACCAACAGAAACAGTACCATAGAATCCAGTTCACAGGTAGGTCCTGAATGTCCAGCCGTGTCCCCTCTGAAGCTCCCGGTGTCTTCAGACTGCTCTCTGTCTGTTTTTCAGAGCTCACTGTGGATGAGCTGAACTCCTTCAGTAGCTGCAGTGGCCTGGATCTGATCTTTGGCCTGAACGCTCTGCTCAGGAATACAGACAACAGCTGGAACAGCAGCAATGCGCGCTCTCTGCTCCAGTACTGTGAGTCTAAACAGTACAAAATGTCGTGGGAGCTGGGGAACGGTAAGGCTCTTCTCTCAGAGTTACTGCCCAAACATTGTCCTCATGATGCTCTGAATCTCTAGTCTAGATCAGTCAGTGAAAGGTAACCCTTCCTAGACTAATGCAGATCTCTGAGATACGCTGTTTGGAAAAAAACGAAATAAGAGCTTTAAAACCTAGCAGTCCATGATTTTTAGCTTTGTCGATCTGTTACACTGCAAAAACGATCTCAAAATTAGTACAAATATCTTAAATTAAGTGCATTTACCCTTAATGTGAGCAGGTAAATACAATGAGTTGCCAATGGAATGAATATTTCTAATCTTAAAATAAGGTATCTAGATATTATGCACTTGAAATAAGACAATTCAGTTGTTTTTTTCTTGTTTGAAGTGTAAATTGTCTTCTTCCATTGGCAAGTGTCTCACTTCAATCCTTAATTCAACAAGAAATGCACTCATTTTAAGAAAAAATTACTTATTTAGATTTAATATTTGGCAGTGTAGAAATTCAGTTAGGACTAATATGAGAATGTGACTGAGATGCAAGCACAGCGCTGACATTTCTTTAGTCCCAGGGGTGGGCGTTCAGGGCCTTCAGAGTCTTCACTGCTGGCCTAAAATCAACCACAAACACTAAACTACATTCAGGGGCAGATTTAGGAAATTTGGGGCCCTAGGCAAAGACAGACATCCATTATTTGTTCCAAGTTTTTTCCTTCCTGTGTTTCCAAAAAGGCCAAAGTAAATAACCCAGTCCTTCTTTTCACTGTAGACAAGCCATGATCTGCTTC